AAAACTGCAGAGTCCTGGCCTGTAGCTGAGTGTAAACTGCAGAGTCCTGGCCTATAGATGAATGAAAACTGCAGAGTCCTGGCCTGTAGCTGAGTGTAAACTGCAGAGTCCTGGCCTATAGATGAATGAAAACTGCAGAGTCCTGGCCTGTAGCTGAGTGTAAACTGCAGAGTCCTGGCCTATAGATTAATGAAAACTGCAGAGTCCTGGCCTGTAGCTGAGTGTAAACTGCAGAGTCCTGGCCTGTAGATGAGTGTAAACTGCAGAGACCAGGCCTGTAGATTAATGAAAACTGCAGAGTCCTGGCCTGTAGCTGAGTGTAAACTGCAGAGTCCTGGCCTGTAGATGAGTGTAAACTGCAGAGACCAGGCCTGTAGATTAATGAAAACTGCAGAGTCCTGGCCTGTAGCTGAGTGTAAACTGCAGAGTCCAGGCCTGTAAATGAGTGTAAACTGCAGAGTCCTGGCCTGTAAATGAGTGTAAATTGCAGAGTCCAGGCCTGTAGATGAATATAAACTGCAGAGTCCTGGCCTGTAAATGAGTGTAAACTGCAGAGTCCAGGCCTGTAAATGAGTGTAAACTGCAGAGACCAGGCCTGTAAATGAGTGTAAACTGCAGAGACCCGGCCTGTAGATGAGTGTAAACTACAGAGTCCTGGCTTGATGATGTAGCTCTTCTGTGTTGGCCCTTTCTTTTGAACTGTGGCTGCTTTTTTCTCCATTGTATAACTGATCATAGTGCTCCTGGCACTTAACAGCATACACAATATTACTCTGTTTGTGACAGGGAACTGGATCTTTGGGGTGAACCAGTCTTTGCCGTAATGTGTTTTGGGGTTTGAAAGCCACTGGGACGTCATGTTTAGAGAATAAATGTCAGTTTCAGTTTGAACATTTTCAGGTTTTCTAGCTTGCAAATGATCTGCTAATCAAACGAGGTAGTCATTCTCATGGATCTTCTTTTGGGTTGTGGGGAGAGAGTCCCTGCATCAAGTGAAGGAGACGGATCATTGGATCTGGGCCTCGAAAGCAGTCAGCTTTACTGGTCTGTCTGCGTTCAAACCCTCAACATGAGGCATTGCATTGAGATTCTCGATATGAGCTTTAGAATAGAATAAACCTTTATTGTCATTGTACAAAGCACAACAAGATTACAGTTCAGAACACCCATCCATCCACGAACTTGTAAAACAGGTGTCCCGGGCCCTGCTGCCATAGACCCCTGCACAGAGCAAGAGTCATCATCATGAAACATCACAAGGAGGTGCTGCCCTTATTTACTTAGCTTTAGAGATAAGGGTAGGAGTTCTGTCATCTGAGCACAAATTATACCTAGGGGATATCTTCTCTGGCTTGAGACAGCCTTAGCACAAGAGCTTGAGAGGTCCACTGGGCAGAGGGACATCTGGGTTTTCCCCCATGGACCTGTTGTTACAAACCTGGATGGATGATTTAAACTCTCCTAATTTTATTTTTATTTTTTTGATCTGGCATCTCATCTCTAGTCATTTTTCCCCCACAATAAATTATCTAAAAGTCTTTGGGTTTACTTTGTTATATTATGTCTCTTCATGCCTGGCATGTTTCGACATTCTACTTCTGTCTTGGTCAGAGGTGTCATAGCTGTTGTTCTCATAAGACATGAGTTTTATTGGAAAAAATAGCTTCTAGTGTTTTTTGAGCCATGAATTCTGGATAAAGTACAAAAGTGAATAAAGCAGACGTCATTTTCTTCTGCACTTGTGTTCTCTGAAAAAAACAAAACTAAAAAACAAGAGAATTAAACTGTGTTATTCAAATGTAGGGATGAAAAATCATTTTCTCCCCCCTGCTGAATAGAACCTAAATTGATCCGTGCAGATATTATCTTCCTCACATTTAACAATCAGCCAGAGCAGACCCTCCTAACAGAGTCGTCGCTGTGTGAAAGCAACTGTAGGCGTCAAATTGTGCAACAAAACAAATGAAATCTCTGGGCACTGTGCTGAAATAAAATAAAATGGTTGTGATATTTATCTCGATTTTACAGAACCCAAACATCCAGCGCGTTGTTTTTCTGATTTTACAAAGTAAAACCTCCCTTACTGTTATTGACATTTTTTCTCTCTTATTTCTTTTTTGTTTTTCTGCTTTGACCCTTTATTTTTTTCAGCCCTTATTATAGATAGATATATAATAATTTTGTTTCAACCTGGTTTGATTTTCTGCTCTGAAAAGGGGCCACAATAGACTGTCAGTTTCACTGTTGCTCTTCATTTCCTGAGACCTTTCTGCCCTTGTCTCCTGTGATTAAATGAAATGATGACTTCTCTCTGTTGTTCAGTGATTCTACAGCTTCTGAACAACAAAACTGTGCAGAGAACCAGGAACACAGGCCTGTTTGGACTTTAAAAACACTACCAGATCTTTTTTTTAAACTGGAAACCTGTTTGTTAGAAAAGAACAGCCTTTAGTCTAGATCAGGGATGTCTGATCCTTGAGGGCCTCTACTCTGTATGTTTTACTTGTTTCTCTGCTCCAGCATCTGATTCAGTGACTGAATTACCTCTTCAAGTTCTGCAGAAACCTGTTAATCACAGTTTCTTTCAAATGAGGTGTGTTGGAGCAGAGAAACGAGTAAAAAAAATGCCGAGGTTTCTCTGTCCTCGAGAACTAAAATTGGACTATTGGTTTTCAATCAAGACCAGAGGTGCCCAAAGTGGGGCCCGTGGGCCAAAATTGGCCCACCAGGCCATTTGATGTGGCCCACTTTGAATTATATAAGAGACATTTAGATTAGGTATAAGCACACTTTATAAGACCATACAGTAAATACTAATAATTTTATTAATTTATGAAATGTCCCATGAGCCTTTGCTGCCAGAGCAGAAGTCAAACTTTCTCCAAGTGCACGGGCTATTAAAAAATAACTGCTAGCTTAAACATAAAAAAATAATAGTAAAAGTATTTGTACTTCATGTATTATATTCTTGCATCTGGCCCGCAGCCTTCTGAGGGAACTATTTTTGCAGCCCTGCTCTAGAATTTGTTTTAGCTCTGTTTTCACAGCTGATAAGGTCAGAGGTTTATRGTAACTAAGTGCATTTACTTCATTGCAGTACTTCAGTAGCTTTTTTTGAGGATTTGTAATTTTACCAATTCTGTTTAAATAGCTACTCTAACTTTTGTTTTGTTACATTTTAAAGCTAAAAATGATACTTTTACTTCTTTACTTTAAAATGTAACACCTAGTTACTCGTTACAAAATGAAATAAGTTTGAACTCATCATGAAAGAAGATGTTTCTGCACTCTAAAAAATGAAGGGTTGAATTTACTCAACAAAGTCATCAACTGGCTCTATTAAGCCTAGTGGAGTAAACTGAGCAAACATTTATATATATATGTATGTATATTATGTGTATATATATGTATGTATATTATGTATATATATGTATGTATATATATGTATGTATGTATATATATGTGTATATATATATATATATATATATATATATATGTTTATTGCTCAGTTTACTCAACCTGGCTCAGTGGAACCAGTTTGGTTCAGTAAATTCAACAGTTTATTTTTTAGAGAGTGTGTAAAAGTACTTTTCCTTTTATTTTCTCAATTTTTGTGAACAGTTTTACGACTTTTAMTTGAGTAGTTTTCTCATTGTTGAAATTTATTTTTACCAAAGTCATTTTCTGTTCATGTAATTTTACTTTTACTTAGTTATATTTTCCAAGCACTTTATAGACCTCTGGATAAGGTTTTAAGAACATCAAATCAAAAAAGATCCTTTTATTTAAAACAAGAACACATATTTAAAATTGTTAATAAAAAATGTGTTATTGTTATAAAGCTGAAGTGGGCAGAGTGGTTTTTAATGGTAAAATCGCAGTTTGTCAAATCTACACATGAACATTTTTAAGAGTGAAAACACTACTCTTTTAAAGTGTCACATGCAAATTTCTGTATACTATTTGTTTTTGTTTCTCAGAAGGCAGCMATAGAAATCCTGCCATTTTCTATTAATCAAATGATCCCCCTCTTTCAGCTCACCTGATTTTTATCCGACAGTCTTGATAACGATGTTTCCCCTCTCCTCTCTTTGTTCAGGCCTGGTGGCCACAATAAAGGAGCATATCACCAAGCCGACGGCAATGGCCCAGGGGAGAGTGGCTCACCTGATTGAGTGGAAAGGTTGGGGTGGCTGTGGCGAGGCTGGGGGAGGTGGCGCCGGCTGGAGCAGAGGTTGGAATAAAGGAGGCGGCGGCGGGTGGGGGGGAATGGGGACCGAGCTGCAGGAGGATGAGCAGTACTACTCCCAAATGACRGATGAGTTCAAGGAGGCTCGCTTCGCAGCAGGTAAGACAAACGGATGAATTCAATTGAAGTGAAACAAAGTGTCAGCCCTCTGCCATTGTTTCTGTTTGATAGGCTTTGACCACAAAATCAATAACCCCCRTGGCTTTCCAAGGACAGTAACTTAAATGTAGTGCTCTCATTGAATTCTCCCTAATTTGGGAGGTTGRTTAGACCTTCAGAGAAACAAGATGGGGGTTGAGAAAAGCAATATAAAAGGTGTTTGTGTTTTGTTTCTCAGGTGTAGCGGAGCAGTTTGCCCTGGCTGAAGCAGCGATGAATGTTTGGTCCATGGGCGATAACTTAGAGCAGCCATCCACCAGCGTACAAGGTAGGTGAGTTTTAACAAACCCTGCAGCTGCCTCCCATTACAAATGAACCATCACAAGATATTTCCTCTGTGAGGATCTGGCTTATTGTAAAGTCATTATCTGAGAATGTTTTTATCTTAGAAGGATCTCTGAAATAACATCACAGACTAAATACTTGTTTTGKAATAAATGTATTAAAACTTAGAATTAAAAGAAAAGTAAACAAAGCCACCATGTTGACGCTATTTTTCATAAACTGTCTGGAAATACAAATACATTTTTTCATGGAAGATTTGACAGAAACAGCTTTAGCTGTACAGCTACTGTCCCATGCTATGTCTGATTTAGCTTTTTAGCAGAGGTGTGTCAAATTTATCCACATTACAAAGAATTATAACAATTTGAATCTGCCTACAAAATGCAACTTAGATTGTTAAAAAAAAGAAGTCAGCTCTTCATGCCATTTTCTGTTTTATATACTAAAAAAACACTTTTACACTATTCAGTGTGTATTCAGTTTGAGTCAGGCTGGAAAGAGGAAGGAAGTAACCACAAACTGGGACTGTGGGTGGTACATACAAAATTTTGTGAAAACCAGTAACTGTGTCATTCTTATAAGCTTACACTGGAAAAAAAAGATTTTTGGTTGTAGTAACATTTATTTAATTATTTTTTTAAATTTTACAAAAAAAATATCAAAATTTCTAAACTA